GTCTGGGTACAAGCCTGAGCCTGAGTCTGCACCCGAACACAAGTCCAATGACAACCTCGAAGCTGAGCATGCCCCTCAGCCCAAGCCTTCCTTTGAGCCTGCGCCCGCGCAAGAATACCCGGAGACTTGCGTACACGGTGAGATCCTGTGCGGGCACGACGGTCAGACATGGGCCAAATGCGACTGGGGCAAACCTGTTCAGATGGGACCTGTTGCCGCCGGCACGCGCTGCAGTCACGGTGTCATCGAGCGTGTGTAAGCTTTATCAGTCTTCCCCTTTTTTCTTTAATAATTGCAACGGCCTTTGGTTTTTCGGTGTACGCACATACCATCTTTAATTGTAGTTTGTGTCTTGTGGTTGCTATATTCCAGAGGTTGTTTTGGTTTTTTGAGTGTCGGTCTTGTTATTTCTCGTGTACTTTCTGTCAAGGGCCTTTAATTGGTTAATTATTAATCTGCCCTGCGTTCGCTGCTCTAGGTAGATGAATGTAATATGATCCAGAAAATGTCAAATTGTCAATCGTTCCACTTTCCACAGAGCAACTACGATACAGCCAAGTGTACATGTATTAGAAATGGTATCATCAACTAGCTCATCAATCATAGACCTGATCTCCTCCAGCAGAATTGAATTCCAACTCCACCCAGCAAACGAGGCTCTGCCAAATACATTATCCACGCATATAAGCGTGTTTCGCGCATCTCCAACGCAATGGAAGCTGAATTGCACAAAAGACTACCGTGATCAATAGTTGCCGGTGTAGGCCGAGCTACCATAACCATAGCCGTTCTGCACCGTGGTTGGCGTGCCATTAGCCGCAGCATTGTTGTTGCGCGAGAAGAAGCGACCACCGAAGACGCCGGGCTTCTCAGCGTCATTGCCCATTTCCACGTCGTGAGGGGTCGGGTGACCAGGAAGCATGTCGTCTGCACTGGCGGTTTCCGGGGTACGCTTGTTGCGGCGCCAGAAGCCGCGGCGTTGGGTGCCGGTGCCGTAGGTATACCCGTTTGCCGGGGAAGGGCCGAAACGCTTCTCGCGCTTGTGGTGGCGGGCGTAGAGGAATTGGAAGAGAATTGAGAGCAAGAAAAGGAAGCTAGTGGTTCATAAGATTAGTAAAGAACTTGGATAAAGAACCTAGAGGAGGATGTCCGACTTACATTCCGATGATTGAGACCGCAAAAGTGACTTTTTCGAGCATGCATGCGTAGCCCAGCCGGACGCCAGATGCGCTGTCGACATTATCAGCGCCGGAGCCCACGGGAGTACTGACGTGCCCGGAGCAGGACTGGGTTCCGTCACGGGTCATCACGGCGATGGCGATCATGGCTCCGGTGAAGCACACATCGAGGACGATAGCCAGGAAGGCGAAGAAGGCAATCCCTCCTAGGCAGCAGGTGAAGAGTGATCCGAGGATTCCGTACAAAGCTGCCGCGCCGGAAAGACCCTCCACGGCCTTCATCCATGTTGGAATGGGCTGGTTATGTTGGCTCTGAACAGCCAGAAAGTATGAGAAGATACCCAGGATGACTGCGGCAGCGAGAAACTGGAGCACACGGATGGCTAGATTGAAAAAGCGGAGAACGACGCCGCCGGCTCCCATATTGACGGTTCCTCACTCGCGACTAGGCGAGAGGTCTTAAATGAACAGTCGAAGGTAAGTATGGAATTCGACTGGGCGAGAGCTATGTTTTCAGGAAAGACAGCCAGTAAGGCGATTCGTGGACCTGCGAATCTGACAGAAAGCGCTGCAGGCAATGGGATTCTTCAGGGAGAATAAAAGCGTGCAGAGTTTGAAAAGATGCGGCCCTCAAAGGCAGCAAGATTGCACTTGTAATAAGTTCCAAGGGACAAGGTGTCGCAGCATGAAGATCGGTGGAGGCATTTGCTGGGTGCCAAGGAGTCGATGGACCCCAGAACCAGCGATGAGAGCTCCTCACAGGCCACCATCCGTTGAGCATCCAGAAGATCGTGATGGGGATCCGCAGATGATGACGAGCACTTGATAGTGATTGGAAGCTGGAGCGGCAAAGGAAAAGCTCCCCCATCTCGACATTATTAGTAGGGTAGCTTGTTGATGTCACTACTTGGACCCTTGTTCCGTCATTGGTCTTTATTGTGGAGGACTAAGCCTTGCCGACCCACAAGAGTCAAGGTCCCCCCGTCTGATGTTCGTCTCTGAATGCTGTATCCTTCATGGTTCCATGAATCCATTCCGTCCTCCCAATGTTACCCAAAGTATTGATTACACGTGAAAAAGTTACTGAATATTTTTAGTGTATCCGGAAGAGGAAATTTTCAACCAGAATTGACGCGTTCGATTAGGTAATAAATGTTGAGCCACATCAGAAGGGTCTCAGCCACAGTGCACAGCCATCCTCGGGCTCCCACCAAAATTGAGTGTCGAACATCATCACATCGTCATGATTCAATTATGTACAGAATCAAGTCTCAACGGGTTTTAGGAGGGTAGCGGTGGGAAAACATAGAGACAGTTGTGGAAGCGAAAGGAAGGGGATACAGTTATGATGCCTGTACATCGACCAGGATCTTGCAATGCTCACCGCGATCTTCAAGAAGCGTCTTGAAGCCCTTATCGACCACCTCGTCCATTTTTACCTTCGCTGTGATCATCCCTTCGGGTTTCAATTGACCTTAAAACTTCCGTGTCAGCCAAGAATGGCTCAACCTCAGGCAGTTGTGAACGTACCGTAGTTCAGGGCTTGGATAACATTTCGGAAAGCGCTCTCATCGTACAGCGCTGCGCCGGTGTAGTTAACTTCATGGTACATCAACTCGTTCACGCGTATAGACGGCCGCTTCTCCCAGACAGCGATGTTCACGATTGTGCCATGGACACGGCACGCAGAAATGGCTTCATTTAAGGCGACTTCCACTCCCGCAGTGTCGAAGATGACATCCACACCCACGCCATTTGTCACCTCCCGCACTTTCTCCGGTACATCGCATGTGCGAGGGTCGATAATGTCTGTGGCTCCGTACTCGAGGGCGAACTTCTTGCGCTTGTCGAGTAGTTCGGCTACCATGATCTTCTTGGCTCCCTGAAGCTTCAGGATTTGTACAATTCCTATCCCAATCGGACCACCTCCGATAACCATGACGCTATCCCCTCCCTTGAACGGGGATAGGTTGACGGCATGCCAGGCCACGGCCAGCGGCTCGATCAGGGCTGCCGCCTCGAGAGACACATTATCAGGCAGCGGATAAAAGTGCTCAGCAGGCGCCACGGTGTGCTTCGCCATTCCGCCGCCATATCCTGCAAGTATTCAGTTTCAGGGTCCCCGTGTATCCAGATCGGGCGCGCGTCTCACCTGATAATCCAATAAACCCAATATTCTCACAGCAGTACTCATAGCCGAGTTTACAGGAGCAGCATTGTCGGTCGAAGATCGTTGGACGAACCACTGCTCGCTGTCCGGGCGATAGATGCGTCACTCCTTCGCCGACTTCTTCAATGATGCCGGCAAACTCATGACCCAATGTCACAGGATAAGAAGTCCCCGTAATCTTGTGTGGCTCCTTTGGGATGAGAACGGGGCCAGCACTATACTCATGAAGATCTTTTCGAATTAGCATATGCAAAGCTTGAATAAGTGCAGACCAGACTTGCCACTGCCACATATCCCCACGAACGCTGGCCGCAACTAAATGTTCCAATAAATCAGTGAATTCGTTTGCTGAGGTAGAATCTGACCTACCTTGACCTGGCCCTTGCCACAAGCTGGCTCGTCAATTTCCTCGATTCGGATATCGCCAGGTCCGTGGAAGCGAACCGACTTCATTGTAGGCGTTGTCTTGAGTCTGGTTCGTACCGTATTCGCAGAGTCAATTGTAGTGTTCAGCATTTTGAAGGCTTATCTGTTCTAATATTGACCTTTGGGGACGATCAGAGACTTTGCTGACAATCTTATATAACAGCGTCGACATTGATGGTTTGACTGATCCTCCCACATAAGGGCTGGGCCATGATGACTTCTAGAAGTATATATAGTGAAGATTGTCGTTGAAGCAAGAACCATTCTCAAAGAACGTTGCAATGACGTTAGATTATATCAGATATCCTAAGCATGATCTGCTAGAACCTCAAGAGGCTCATATGAGTTATGTACATTGGGTGGCATATTTGATTGGCAGATATCCTGTATCGTCGATTGATCATAGTTACACCATTGATGATATGAATCGTCATGTGCACCCATGGCTCCGGATATCTCGTTTGACTATCAGATCATGGTGAAAGCAGGCACAGCCTGATTCGCTAATGCACTTCTTCCGATGTTTACCATGAGCCGTTCTGAGGGAACGCAGGCAAACAATCTGGTATCAAGGAAGTGGTCGACTTCAGGTTCCCCACAACGAATCAGACGTCGCAATGGCAGCTATGGCGTCTATCAAATCGGATGCCAATGGCCTTGCAAGCGATGGTATCTTATGCGATGCGGGCATAGATGTGGGGAAGTGGCGTCATAATGAAACCGGGGGAGATGTCTTGGCAGGCTCCCACTATGACAGGCGAAGATACACCCACTAGGTTGACCATGAGTAATTGAACAATCAGAATAATCGAGAACAGTTGAAAAGTACCTTACCTTTTGCAATTGGCGCTGGTGAATCTTTGACTGGCAGCTTATTCGACCCATCAATAGAAATCGAGCCTGTCGACCGAGGTATGTGCAAGACTTGTGCATTAGAATGCACTATTGCACGCATCGGATCATGGTTACGACTCCCCTTCTCGCTGCTGATCAACGAAAGCTCGAAGAATTGATTCTAGCCCTTCATTGCGGCGCGCAAGCAACATCACATCAGAGACATTGATCGTAGAGCGGCCGGCATGCCTGCATCGGTGGAGGCGCCTTGTCAGCCGGCATTCAGGAGCATCCACGCACGAAGCAACATCGCAACACAATAACACTCATTCAATGACTTCAATGATGAGACAAGAACAACTCACTTGGCAAAGAACTCCAGATCTTGGCTAACAGTTTCTATAAATTCGAGACCATCAGCTCGAATCCACCATGGACCACGAAATCAGACTCGGTGGCTTGCGGCCTGTAGCGAGTGGGGGTGCAGACAAGCAGGTTGAAATGCTACACATACCTATTTGAGCCCAGACCATTTCTGTCAACGCTCCAATGAACTGAGGAGTAGCGTTGACTCCGAGCTTGATGGTTTCCTCGTCAACAATCTTGCCAATGGAAAGCCAAAGAGCGGATTTCAAACGCTAGATCACTAAAATCAGCAACCGAAGCATACCCCAAGGGCGCGATCTAGATATGGCATACCTCTTCAAGGCTGACTTCCTCGTTTGGGTCCATATTTTCGTGTCCAGAACGTACAGTCGCTATACGAGCACTTGTACAGATTAGAATGACACAATTCGCTTAACTGGTTCTCCGATCCCTCGACAGTGTCAAACATATAGTACGTTAAAGATAACGCGTTCTGGAACGTCTTGACGCCCATTCACGTGTTTGGCTGTTGTCACGTGCTTGCGGTGTAGATTACGCTAACCCGCAAATGAATATTACCTTTTACGGAATGCTCCTCATCGAAGAGCTATCAAGACTGCAGGTACTCCTCTTCCAAGACGTTGCTCAATCGCAAGTCTTTTCTATTGTGCGACCTCTGTGTCAAGATTAGCAGGCCCTGGTGTTTTGTCTTGCTTTTCGGGACAATAAATCCCGCAGCGAAGTGGTTCTTATCTCTTCACCTCCGTACTACCTTCCCCTCCGACCCGCTTTCTTCGCGGGATTAGGATCGGGATACTTTTTCCTCCCCTTTCTCCGCTCTAAAGTCGTCCTCGAGTTTAATCATCTGCGAGACCTCACTCCAAAACTCACGAGAGAGAGACAAGTCTGTTGATCACATCACCATTCACCATGGCGTCCTCCGAATCCTCCTCCGTCGTATCCGACGCCCTAAACGACTTCTTCGGCCAACTCTACACCTTCCTCGAAACACTCTTCAAACGGTTCTTCAGGAATCTCTACACATCAGTCGTCGAAGTCAGCGCCAAGCGTTGGACGAAAGTCATCGTCTCCGTCGTCGTTTACGTCCTCATCCGTCCTTACATCGAAGCCTGGTTCCGCAAGATGCACGAAAAAGACCGCAAGAAGCAATTGGAGAAGGAAAAGGCAGAGCGAGAGGCCACGAAAAAGAATAAGGCCAAGGTGTCGGCTAATGCACTGCGTGGTGGCGCCACCGGTGGCGGCAAAGTGCTAGGCGAGGTCGAGAATACTGACGATGAGATCGAGACCGGCGAGGACTTTGCTACCGCCAGTGGTGTGCCCGAGTGGGGGAAGAACGCAAGGAAGCGCCAGAAGAAGTTTATGAAGGACCTGCAACGGGAAGCGGAGCAACAGACGGAGAAGTTGTCAGATGAGCAGGTCATGGAATTGCTTGATTGGAGTGAATCAGAGGATGAGAAGAAGCAGGAGAAGGAGTGAGAGGTAAAACCTCATTTTTCGGTGCCGTTCGTTGACTTCGAAGCTGGTCACGTTGCTCTTGGGCTTATTCCTGCTATCCCTCTTAATGTCCGCTTTCTTTCACCCGCTGTATAATTAACATATCTTCATGTTCTATTGTTGAGGCTCCGATCACGTACCAGCGACGACACGGACAGGCACGGCTCATGTCTTTATACGTGCCCATAGATTACGTACTCCGACTATGTTCTCAAAAGTTCAATGTCACTATTCTATCATCAAGCCATGCAATTGGTCAATCGTATCATCAAGGGGAACTCATTCTAGGATGGATCCGTAGAAACGCACCAAGCAAAAAGAAATATCTAATGCAGCCTTCTGAGTGCTTCTATCATCCCTTTTACCTCGTCTACACTCATTTTGCCCACTATACTGACGATTTCTTCCTGCACACTCGGCTCACATGTGAGGAATCGCTCAATGAGCTCTCCATCCACGAAGCGATACGGTTCTTTAGCCTCACGCACCATACTGCGGAAGCCCCGGAACTCATTGAATGGCATATTTCCAACCAATTCGACTTTTCCTGCAATTGTCGCTTGCAGACGCATCAAGAAGTCTTGGTGGTCAGGATTGATGATAGCAAATAGGTAAATAGAACCTTCCACCTGTTGTTGGGATTGATTCGTCAGTCGTCTCGCAGAATTGGTCGACATAGACAAGGGAGAAACTCACAGTGCCTAAAAATGCTCGCGGAGTGACAACCACACTAGCCAATTGTTGGATGTTGACCGGTCTGATGCGGTTGACCATCTCGCCCAACGAAATCTCACCCGTCACTTCCAAGCGACGCTTATCATCCTCCTCAACCCCAGTGGTGTTACGATGAAGAACAATCAAATTACCTTCAGCGTCACTCTCCAGGAAAGTGTCTAGTGCGATGTTGGCAACACCGGTGGCCCATACAGTCTGAAAGTGGCGCGCAACTTCTGTCATTGTATCTGGCGTGCCGTTCTCGCCCTCCTTATACTCCACGAGGCACATGCTCTTCATGAGATCAGAGACGGCGATCAAATTGCCTGTCACTGTTACATCCACTGGCGCAGTCGAGGTCCTATAACTGGCCAGCTTCTCAAGTCTCATGGCGCCGAAATTGTTGTTTATGACTCTATATACAACGACCTTGGTGGAACGTTAGTAGGGTAATGTGGAAGGTGGTGGACCAAGAAAGAATGCTTACTGTCTTGACGAGTGCAGCCACTATTTTGTCCCCAAGCATGGCCAATGCTCGGCATGCTCCTTTGACGGGTAGCTCAGCAACTTGAGTCAGTTTTCGGCCATTGTCAACCTCAAAGATTAGGATACGACCACGGATCGACTCATCCCCTTCATCGTCCAGGTATGCTGTCCCAACAATGAATCGATCTTTGACCTCATCTTGGTCATTTGCGCCTTTACCCGCCGGGAACTCCGCACGGATGACACTTTCCACTAACTCCTCTGGCCGCAGCTCGAACGCGTCCAGGCGCCGGAACAATATCTCGTCAGCAAGTACGAATCTGCTTTTGACGATCTCTGCTCCTTCGATGAGTTTCCGTTCGATGGTACCAATACCGAAAGCTTTCTCAGAAGGCGAGTACGCCACTCGTCGGACCGTTGCCCCGATTGGGAGTGTCTGGGTTTGTGTTGTTCTTTCCTTGTCCACGAGAGCAATTTTCAAGTCATGAGATGTTGCGACTGCTATCGACTCTGGGTAGGCCTCCGAGTTGAAATGGCATATCCGGGAGGCGCCTTCGGAGTTTACTGCAGAGTATATAATCCGCCCTTCTGATCCGTAGATCATGCTAGGGTTCTCGCACGTAGCAAAGACGTTGAACAAGCCATTGCCTCTCGGTAATTTTTTGAAAGTAGGTTGCTCAGAGCCCAATATTAGCTTGGTCATGCCAGTCAATGAGAAGTCATTCGTGTTAAAAGAGTAAGTGATCACACTGCCATCCGCCATGGAAACGAAGAGAGTAGGCGGGCTGTCCGTGAGCACGTTCGCCACGAGAACCGAACGAGGAAAAGCTTCACCAGCCAGGCCGACTGATGTCGTATGAAGCTCGGACAGATCCTGAAGCTTCAGTACTGAGACTTTTGCCAGCTGAGGAAATCCGGCAATACAGACCCCGGTCGGCGATGACGGTACTGTGACACCAGAAATCTGACTATCTGCCCCAAAGTCCTTCTGCGTTACGATCTGGACTTCGTTGGTAATATCCAAGACTGTCACAAGCTCGCCGCCTGCAACAAGAACGATCGAGTCATCGTTGGCAGAGGCGGCAGTTATAATGAGCTGATTCGGTGGAGTCCACTCGTAAGTTACCATTCCACCCTCTACCTCTGCGATGAGCACCCTCTGCTCAGTGACCTGCAATATTCGCCCACCGGATAGATTGGCCGCCAGAAGAGTGCTTTCGGAAAGGCTCAGCCCAAGGAATTGATCCATCTCTTCGACCTCGCCGTCGGAACTGAAACGGAATACTCTCGTCTCGTCGACGAAAGTGACCAAGAGTGTGTCCAAGAAATCGCCGATGCTTCCTACCTGCAAGCCCCACAGGTCTGTGATATGCTCCATGTCACCTAGCACACCCAGCTCCTCCATTCCAACTCCGCTGCGGACGCTCCTGAGCGTTCCATCGTCAAAGGCGCCCGAGCCAGTGACAATCCTTGCTTGCCCTGACGAGAATTCGTGGGTCTGAGTTTCACTCGAGCGGTTGCCGAGATCCATTATCGTAAAGTCCAATATCGGCGCGATATTTGACAAGGTTTGTACAACTTCCAGCGAACCATTGCTGATGCGCAGTACTTGAGAGTCTCCCTGATGAGAGCCCAGGAACAAGACACCGCCGCCAAGGTAGACTAAGACGGATGCGCGGGATGTGCTGCCCAGAAGGTCTAGCTTCCAGCTCTCGACTTGGTTGTCAGAGTCCAAGACCAACATTAAAAAGAAGAGCCTCCCATAATCGTCAGCCAGCAGCCACCGCTGGCTATCCACCTGTTCCCAGGCCACAAAAATGGTCGCCTCATCCAAGGGGCGGGATATAATTTCGTTATTATCTGCGTCGACATACTTGATCGACATTTCCCCGAGGATGAGAAGCCCCCCTGTCTATGTTAGCATGGAGAACGGCTCATCCGAGAGCAACACAGAGTTCATGGGAAGTTACCTAACGGAGCAGGTACTGGAATCAGGTGGGAAGACCCGAGTTCCAGGTCTTGTGTAAAGTCCGCCGGTTCCCCAAATGTAGCGTCCGCAGTGCTGTTGCTCCCGGTCGCCGCATGATACTGTAATTCCCTCACCCTCAGTTTGACTTTTCTCTGATTATCCTCGTACAGTAGAGCCAGGCGTGGAAGCCCTTCTTGCACATGCAAGAACGCCGACGAGCGGACGAACAGCTCCTCAATTCTCGCTGTTGTCGGCTCACCCAACTCTCCCACCCGCGGGGCATCCGGGCCTGAGGGCAAGGCGACAGCCCTCCCTCTTTTCTTGCTGGGCAGTTGTATAATCGGTATGACTGCAATAACACCTTCATATATCTCCAAGGTCATGAACCGTCCGCTTGGGTCGATCAAGCATCGGTTCCCCGTTTGCGACTCCCGCGATGACGGATCCGATATGTCGACATAGTCCCGTTCCGTGCAGACCCGCTTTTCTGAACTATTCCAAGATAACGTGAAGTATGTGTACCGGTCTGTACCAACGAATAGATGGTCCGTCGAGGAATTAGCCGGGGCGGGAAGGCGAGCCAGCATCGTCACCCTCGCATAGATGGCGCACGAGGCCACAAGATCCAACCCATCTGGGGTGGGAGAGTAGAATTCGAGCCGATTAGACTTCCTGTTATCAG